TTCTAAATACATTTTAAACAGCACATTAGATAGATATCAAAAAGAAAGAAGGAATGGAAAAGAATGAAAACATGAGATCAGGCATGAGGATTTGTGGGAAGAGGAAATGGAATGGGATCTGGAGGGGGTAAACTATGCTTTTTGTATGCCTAACATACTATGTAATAATAGCTCAAATAATAGTTGATGAATGTTTTAGTATTTTCTTGTCTGACCCAGAAGAATCATCTTGGGGATTACCCATTGTCCGTGCTTCATTTGGAACCCTGTGAAGACACTGAAGGCTTGAATTTCCAGTAACAGAGGAATTAAAGAGTAAAAATTCAACTAGAGAATTAATAGAGTTAGTTAAATGGTGTCTGAATGTGGTGTTGGTATATGCATGATTTGGGAGTTTCCAGGAAAATCGCTTGCTCTCTTGTTCTAGAGTCCTGAAACTATATCTTAGGACCGTCTCTAACCTCCATTTGATTGCTAGCTTAATTTTTAAGTTCCCAATCAGGTACATACAATGAACAAATCAATCAACATGCATTCCAACAAAGCTTTTTATCAAGCATGTATGTGCCAGACACTACATATGCCAGAAGCTAATTAAGACATAGGGCATGTCCTTAAAGAACAGATTGGTATTATAATGATAATCGCTAACATCACTGAGATCATTATTAATGCCTGGCCTGGATCCTAAGCACGTTGCTTGTCATTTCATTAAGTCCTCACAACAGCCCTATCAGGGAGGTACCATTATTATGTCCAATCACAAATAAATGGAAGATTCCAGAGTAAGTTTCCTAAGGTTCACTGAAGCTGATGAAAGTTCAGAACCAATACTTATCAAAGTTTGGTTCCAAACAAAATCCATGTGCCTCAGTACCAGATGTATGACAAAGCAAAGAAAATTTCTATGGGAATCTAGAAGAAAAAAAAATATTGCTCTAGCTAGTCGGTTCAGGAAGGGTTTCTGTTGTGTAGCTATATTCTCCTAATTGAAACATTCACTCCCAGAAGGAGGATCAAGACTCAGAGAGTAAATGAAATTTACAAAAGGCTTAAGACATATATCTCAAGAGTCTTGTTCCTGAAACTTACAAGATTCTTAAGCACTGGGAAGGTAACATAAGCAGTAACAATAACCAGAGAGAGGAGACTTTTACTGGCTTCAACTGTCTTCAAGTCAAGCAGAATGCTCTAGAAATGCAACTTTCATGAGTCATCATCCCATCATCCATGCTGGTGTGGGGTTGGCTTTTTTTTTCCGCCCCTTGGAGATGCAGATTTAAAGCTCTTATAAGTAACCCCTCATCATACTCCCCTAAGTAACCCCAGTAAACTTGCTAGTTCCCTAAGCTAGCTAGACTTGGGTAGAATTGCTTCTTTGGTCTGTTGTGGATACCCTATCAGGAATAAATAGACATCTACTTCTCTCCAGGAAATGTCATGCAATAGTTTTAAAGAAAAAGATACAACTAAACAGAAATTTAAAGCATAGCTAAGTGGCAAAGAACTTTCTAAAAATGAGTTTCAGCAAAGTCATGAGTAAATATAATGTACAAGTAGCTGTGGGCATTTGGGGTAGTGACAGAAGACATTCTGACAAGGTTAGTAGGATTCAATTTAGGAAGGTCAGTGTGTTCAGCAGGAAGGAGCTGAAAGCAAGCCTCTTTAATCATTTCTAGGATGATCCCTGCTACACTTCTCCTAGGCACTACCTTTGCAAAAACAACAACAACCCAAAATGGAGTATATGGACCAAAAATACTCTCAAGTACAAATATCCAATAGTTTAGGTAATTATTTTTCAAGTATACATGATTTTTCATACTTTTCCATAGCTATGAAAGACTGTAATCAAGACTAGTTGTATTAATTTCCCACAAGAGTATCTAACACAGGTGGCTCTTTCCAGGAGTAAGGCAAGTCATACTGTTAAGCTACATTCATTTTCTAGTGCAGACATGAAATCAGGTGGTGTTACAGAAGTCTCTGTCTGGGCAACCATTTAGTAATATATCTTATTTAATATGCAAAATATAAAATCTTTGGAGATGTATACACACACACACACACACACAAATGAACATGAATCTGGCTACCAGAACACTTAAATTTTAAAACGAGACTAGTAACATATTCAAGTTTTACTGTCATTTTATTTATCTAAGGCTCAATTTACCTGTAAAATGAAAAACTTGAACTATATGGACCCCAAGATTGTGATTCTATGACATTAGATAATATTTGTTCATGTTAAGCTTAATATTTTTAACATTTATTTATTTGGGAGGAGGTATGTGCCAATGTGTATGTGGAAATTGGATTTGGTTCTCTCCTTTCACTATGTGGGCTCCAGGAATCAAACTCAGGTCATCAGGCTTGGTGGCAAGCACCTTTACCTGATGACTGACCCATTTCACCAGCCTTCATGATAAGCTTAGAATACAGGTGAGGACTTTGAGAACAGATTAAGAAGCATATAAGTCACTTTTAAAAATGCCACCTAATGGCTAACGACCATTGGTAACTCCAGTTCCAGGGGATGTGACACCCTCTTCTGGGCCTCTACAGACACTGCATGACATTTTGGCACTTACACACATGCAGGCAAACACTCATACACAGAAAATTAAAATAAATAAATACAAAAAAAGTGATGTCTAGTGCAGTTAACTCCAAAAAGCCAAGATCACACCACTAATAAGTAAAAGAGGGGTGAGTTTGAAAATTAAAGAAATGGGTATATGAAAGAAATACTCAGCAAGAACTATGTGTGAGGAATATCTTGCTTATTTTTTCTTTATAAAGTAACTGAACCAAGGATACTAGTACACATCTCCTTGCAGTCGTATGATAATCATTTCATATTTATGCCTACTGAATTCTCCCTTGAAATCTCCCCTCTCCACATAGGCTACTTGAATTCTATAATTGCTTTTGGTTGTGTATCAAGAGGATATTCTGGGGAGATTACTACAGGTATTATCAGAAATTATATATAATTGGTCTTTGAATTGCTATGGAATCATATATAAAAATCACCAAAGCTACAACTATAAACATACTCTGACTCAAATTATTGCAAAACATTACCAGATTTGGGTGAAATTTCTAAAGGAAGAGAGCTGCCAGTTAGTCAGTCAAGTAACATTTATTGAGTATCCATTACATGTATATTACACAGTGAGATATTAATTGCTGATGAGTAAACAAGAAAAACATTGTGTAGGGGGATGACTCTATAACATAGAGATTATGTTGATGAAGCAGGTGTTGAGAGTTGATCTGTTGCTAGAGAAATCACCTACATTAAGTTTTATTTGGTGAAGAGTGCCTAGACTTTAGAAAAGGAGAAAGATTTTACAGTGGAGAGAACATGGACTATGGACTAGGATGCCTAGGTTTCAGTCACTTAGGAGCTGTGCAACACTGAAAAATTTAACCTTGGTTTTGAGATACATCATACATATAAACATTTACAGTTGCAGGGAGATATACATGAAGCAATGACTTAGAAACTATTGAAGAGGGCATGTGTTATTGATTTGCAGGTTCTGAGGTCCTTGGTCAGACACTGTGGTCTGTGCTCTTTCCTATCTTCTCCACAGGCTTTTCTTCAACAGGACACCTGCTTTTTCCTGCATGTGTCAGCATGCTTCCTCTTCCTGTCCTCTCTCCAAATGAAGACTCAGTAAATCGCTTAATAATGGCGCTCTTGCACCTGAATAGCTATTTGAACTCTTGAGGCTACTCTTAAGTGTAATTTACAAGCAACTTTCAGATCCACCGTGCTAGACACATTTCTGTTCATGTCATAGCACTGTTCAAATGCTTTTAATATTTTCTTCTTTTTAATGAATAGTCTTAACTCCTGTCTACACTCTAAGGCCTTGCTAAGCAAAGTGTGGCTTCCACACTCTAGCAAGCACCTCACCTGGGAGTTTGTTAGAAATGCAGATTCTCTGGTCCTACTCAGGCCCACAACTAGCAACTTCATTTTGACAAGATTTCCATCTGCTTCCTACACCAGCTCTGGCTATGTGGTTACTTTATTATAAACTCGAAGCTTCAATAATAGTTACCGGATTTAGCAAATAACAATAAAAGACAGCCAGTAAAAATTGAAAACAATGACTGTTTTAGGATATCTCAAATCTTTCATGGGATACATACCTTAAAAAGTAATTGCTTTGGAGTCTTCTTTCTCCTCTGAGTTGGCATCTACTTATGATTCTCGAGGGTACTCACCAGGCAGCTTCACAGAGTTGTAAATTAATTTCTTTAACCATTGCTACAAGTGTCCCACCAACTGCTTACAATAAAGGCATTAAGATTTAAAAAAAAAAAAAAAGTAATTGGCTCTGTGTAATTTAAAGTTTTCTGGGTGACCTGTTATGTACTCTGGACAGCCAGTTCATGAGGATAGAGGATCCATGCCTAATATAACATTTTATTTCCATGCACAAGGACAATGCCTTCCTAAACTGCTCAATAAATGTTTAATTAATAAAAATGAGTCTAAGAGCAGCCCCTCCCCAGCTTCCCCCCACATTGTTTATTCCTAGCCCAATAAATATTTTGGATGAATAAATTAATATACAATACAGCAAGAGCAATCTCCAATTATGGACTGGATTGTGTGTGCCTATTTTAATTAAAGCTGAGTATTTTCACCAATATTTTAAAAAGTTTTAATTGGTACAGCTTTTCACATTTCAGCTGGCAGTGTTCAGAACTTGGCGAGAACATAGACACGGGCTCAGAATGTACTCTTCGCAGACTGAGCCCATATGGGCAACTGTGGGGGCAGAAAACTACCCTCACAACGTGGAAGACTCCGCAGCAGGAAAGGAGACGCTGTTGCGTTTCGGCCTCGGAGGCGCCACGCACGCGCATAACAGCGATCTGGGCTGAGGCCCAGCGCCGGAGGCGGGGCTGTGGGGCGCGTGCACAGCGGCCTGGGCGGGGGAGGCGGGGCTGTGGGGCGCGTGCGCGGCGGCCTGGGCGGCCGGCCCCTCCCTTCGCGGGGGCGCGCGGCGCGGAGGACCGCACTGAAAGGGGGAAGTCAGGTGGCCGCTGCCGCCACCAGCGCCACAGTCTGTCGCCAGAAGGAAGATGGCGGATCTGGAGGAGCAGTTGTCTGACGAGGAGAAGGTAGGAGCCGCGGGGGCGGCGGAGCGGGGCGGGCGGAGCCGAGGGCCACGGCCTCAGTCGCCCGCCGGGGACAGCCCTGTGGTGGGCCGTGCGCCGCCCTCGGCTTCCTCAGCACGGGTCCTGCCGTGGCGGTCACCGAGGCCCTCGCGGCCGCGCTGCCGGGCCTGCTCTCCACTCCTTGTAGGGTGTGTGCTCCGAAAATGGGAAGCGGAGAGCTGCGGCCTCGGGCCTGCGCCAGGGCGGGGGCGGCGGACGGGCGGCGCGGGGTCGGGACCCGGAGCCACCAAGGGCAGTGTCTGGCCTGCGAGTGTGGCGGGGGGAGGCGGGCGGAGAGGAGAACGGCTGGGAAGCCCACCGCCTCTTCCCGCTTCTAGTTCCTCTCCTCCGGGTCAAGTGCTTCCTTTCCCTGTTCTCTAGGGTGTTTCCTTCCTGCAGGTCTCCCTGTCCACATTCCGCCCCCTCGCTTTTTTTTGTTGCATATTTCATTTTTTTCCTTTTTTGAATTTCTCTCCTTTTTTCCCCTTGGTATTACCATTGTTTTTCACTTTAAGCGTTGCTGCTCCCGGAAGGGAGTATTCTTTCTTACAAAGACACCTTCCCCCTGGGTTGTTTTCTGCTCAAGTTGGCGGCTGCCCCCCTGGGGGCCGATTTGGTGACATCCCATCTTCCTGATAGGACCAACTCTGAAGAGGAGAGATGGTGCTGCTCTTTTTACTGCGTGTTAAATGCTGTGACAGCAATGGAACCAGATGCACGACTCAAGTTCTATTTATAAGAAATCTGATCATTGAACTGCTTCTCGTATTTGCCCATTTTCTTTGGTGACTCAGGTCACCTCATACCTAGGGGGTGAAGGGAGTGAGGAGAATCCTATTAATTTTAAGCATTTCTTAGAAAAGACCATGACATTCTTCAGACTCTGAATATGGTACAATTTTGGAAGTGTCCACCCTTAGTACTTCGTTTTTAAGTTCCAAAACAGTAGGTAGGACACATACTCAGTTCCTTTAGAATGTTAAAGAAATGTTGATCTAACTAAAGATATTTCCAGTTGTAACTCTATTTTTATATTGTGTTGTTACACCAAAACGTAGTGTTCTATCTCTTTATTGATACAGTCGTGCAGAAGTCAGCCTCATCTTTATTTTGGAAGTGTTTTGTTTTTCTGTTGTGCTCCTTGCTGAAGAGGGGGTAGTAATAAATGAACAAAATGGGAACATCAGCATCTTTGTTCATAATCCACAGACTCGGCAGGCAGATCCCTTCAGTCCCCCAAAGTTGCTGTACAGTATTTACACATGTAATATTGAATAGTGCTAGTTGAAAATGTACCAGTGCCTGCACATGTACACATATTTAAAATTAAGTAATTGTAAAAAGTGTTTTTGTTTTTGAGATAAGAGTCTCAGTGCAGCCCTTGCTGGGCTGAAACTTGACCAGGCTGGCCTTGAACCCAGGAGGTTTGCATGCCTCTGCCTTCCCAGGGCTAGGATAAAAGCCCCATGTTAAGTTTTTAAAAGGGACTTTTCCTTTTCCTTTTTTCTTTTTTGCTTTTTAGTGATTATTAGTACTTTTAGTGACTAGAAAAGTAAGCTGATAAGAGAGTTCTCAGAGTTCATGCAGATCTGCCATGTTGTTGAAAAGATCTAAAATAGTGTCTCTTCCAAACTGAAATGATAAGATTCCTTATCCTGCATGCTCGGGTCTCTAAGTTTCACAGGATAGGGTGTCTTCTTTAAGCTTACCTACTACCATAATGTGTGAACAAATGAATGAAAATCCTAATCTTAAATTTTGTGGGTTTTTTTTTTTTCTATTTTAGTTTTGTGAGACTATTCTGTAGATATTTTACCTGTGGATTTTATCACTATATTTTCTGGTTTAAAGAACATTGAGCCAAACATGGTGGCACGTGTCTTCAACCCCAGTCCTCTGAAAGCAGAAGCAGGCAGACCTCTATGAGTTCCAGGCCAGCCAGGGCCACATAGTGAGACCCTGTCTCAAAAAATAGAAAAATAAAAAAGCAACATTGGCCAAATGTTCAGGTTAAATATAAGTAACCTGTAACTTGAAATTAACATACTTGTCACTTCAGCTATCTAGTTTTAGGGTGTTTCATATGGGATCAGAAATAGAGAAGATTTAGAGGTGGTCTTTTAAGACTTAATACTTTTTTTTTTTGTCTCCTTGCTTGTAATTTTTAAGAATAAGTTTTAAAACTTTTAAAGCTTTTGGAATTCCATTATAGATTGCAGGTCTAAAGAAGAGAAGGTATGTATATGCCTGTCCCAGTAAGACAAATCCAATTCCTTTTTTTTTTTTTTTTAATGTTTGACGTAGGTAGTTTCATTATTACCATATTTCACATATAAGTAAGGTTTTAAAAGCCTTATGTAACTTAACCTAGATAAGAAGTGTTGGAGGTGAAATTTAAACCTATGTTAGAATCCAAAGTTGTTTGTTTTGGTTTGCTTTGGTTTGGTTTTTTGAGACAGGATCTCCCTGTAGCCCCAGCTGGCTAGGAACTTACTGTGAGACAAGGCTGGCCTCCATCTCACAGAGATCTGCCTGCTTCTGTTGGATTAAAAGGCATGCACCACCACACCCAGCAAGGTTTGTATTGTTGTTATTTATTTTTTCATTTATTTAGGGTTTTTTATTTTTTGTGAATTTCATATAGTATATTTTGATCATACTTAGATTCCTTCCTGTATCTGTATCCCCTCTTTCTAGATCCCCTGTTTGTAGCCCTCCACCAAAAATCTGTGTACACACACACACACACAGAGGCCTGTAAGTTTGTATTTTTAATGGCATTGTGCACCCTTAAATATAGTTGATTATAAGACCCTTCTGGGCTTGTAGCTTGGTTTTCTATTTGTTGACAGCTTTTTAAAAAAAATTCTATTTAATGCGTATGAGTGTATTGCCTGCATGTTTGTAAGTGCACCCATGTCATGCAATGCCTGTAGAGGTCAGAGAGGGCGTTAGGTCCTCTGGAACTAGAGTTATAGCCAGTTGTTTGTTAGCTGCCATGTGGGTGCTGGAAATTGAAGCTGGGTGCTCTGCAAGAACAGTCAGTACTCTTAACCACTGAGCTATCTCTCTGTCCCCTTTGTTGACCGCTTATTTTTTAAAAAAGGAAAGACAAGCCAGGTGTGGTGGCATGCTTTTAGTCCCAGTACTGGGGAGGCAAAAGCAGGCTGATCTCAAGGCCATAAGGAGATCCTTTCTCAAAAAGACTAGTTCTTTGTAGTGTCAGGTTCTAAATTTGTGTTTCCACGTATCTTAGTAGAAGGGCTAAGTGATCAATTTTTGTTTCATCTTTGGTTAAAATATATTGAATATTTAAATGTTTTATGCTACTGCCATAGTTTTCATGTTGGCCCAATGGTAGGAGGTATTTTAGAAATTAAATCAAAGCTGGGTGTGGTAGTGCAGATTTGTAATCCAAACATTTAGGAGGATCCAGGCTTGGAGGATCTCTAGCTCTGAGGGCCAGTCGGGGCTACATAGCAAGACCCTGAGTCAAAAAGAGTCCTCCCCCCCTTTTTTTTTTCTTTCCTGGGTCACAGCTATGTTGTATTTATAAAGCATTTTGTGTGAATTTGAAATTATATGAAATTGTGGTATATGGCTCAAATAAAAAGACCCATTCCCAAATACTTGAAGGAGGACCATAATTCGTGGCAAAATGGCTTTGTTTATTTCTTTTTGCCCCCTCCCATTCTTGTCCAGTGATTATAGTGGTCCACTTCAGTGACTTTGACTTTGGTGTTTGTAGGTGTGTTTTGGGTACCAAGCTGTGACATCAGTTTCTTTTTAATCATTGGCCCACATTTTATCTGCTGGTCATGTTCACAGATGATTAACTAGATGTGTTCAAATGGATTCTTACTGAAAGTAAATTTATAAGTACCTTTTTCTTTGTCTCCCTCTCTTTATCTCCCTCCTTTTTTTCCTTCTTTGAGACAGGGTCTCATGTAGTCCAGGCTGGCTTCAAATGGTACCTGAGGATGAATGACCGGGATCATCATCTGATCCTCCTACCTCCACCTCCCTAGTGCTGGGACTGCAGGCATACACATTAATGCTCAGTGCTCAGTTTTACTGGTGATCAAACCAGGACTTTTTACATGCTAGTTAAGCACTCTACCTACTGAACTACTTCCCTGGCTCACTCCTTCTTTGCATCTTTTATTTCCATTGTCCTAGGCATCCAGGACCTTATATTTCAGGGGTTTGTTTTGTTTTGTTTTTTCTGTTTGTCCTGTATCTTAGAGCTAAGTTATGTCACTTCTACTATTTAAAAAAAAAAAAATGCCTTATAGAAAGTTTATTTCATGATTGAAATGTTAATTAATTTATGTTGGTATTTGACTCACAACCTCTCAATTGACAAGATAATTGATTTGGTAACAAAATGTCACTATACAAACCGAATGCAAATAGGTTGTACCTATTTGGTGACAACAGTTAAAGAAGAAAAGCTGGGTGTGGTGGCCTTTAATCCCAGCCCTGAGGAGGCAGAGCAGGAGGCTAGGGATTGGAGGTCATCGTGGAATACCTACAGGCCCTGTATTCCATTCTCAACTGGCTCTTTCTGATATGTGTAGTTTAATCATACTGTGAATTCAGATCTGTGTACTCTTTGGTTTCTAGAGCTTGAGTGTGTTAATCTCTTGGTGTAGTTTCCTTTGAAATTTGAGAATGTAATAGTAAATGCCTTTCTTCGATAAGCTGTAAGCATAAATAGTACATGGCATATAATTAAGGCACATAATAGATGGCAGACATTTTCCTATGCCTATGACTTTTTACTCTTTTTGAATATTGATGCTGCTTTCAAATCTGTCCCCCTTCTAAAAGATGAAAATTTTACTCTTCTTTTGACATTTAGTTCAGATCATCTAGCTCATTTAATCTCTCCTGAACTTTATAACACATTGTTTATATTAAATAACAATTTTTAAATGCTTTTCTTTTCCCTATTTAATGAG